CTTCTCAATCCAACCTTTCGAATTTTCCCTCCTTTTTGCTATTGTTTTTTTATCTGAACCAATACATTACATAAAGATTAATAAATTAAAAGATGTGACTTGGTCAATCGGACCACGAAATCTAATGTATTTGAACAATGTGCAACTCTTTTAAGGTCCCAGTAAAATCTGAACAAAGTCTATTTTTTTTACAGTTTACATAAACACGACTTGGCCATTAAACCTTATCTTCCACCTGTGGTGTTTTTACTGTTTGTGAATTTCGCCATAGACAGTGGTGGGATTGGTCAAACGACTCTTGGTCGGATCTTCAGTTTAGGTCATCACCCTACACACCTTAAATTTAAAAAATTGGGTTTTCCGGAAAATAATGCAGGTTTCCATGTTTTCTTTCAATTACCCTACTCTATAATAAACTGTTTACGTTTGATGGATTATTCTTTTGTATGAATAACAATACTTTTTAATCCTCTTCCAAACAAAAATATTCGTTTACCTTAGTTCATTCAGCCCTTATTAAGTTGTCAAGGCATGATTTTCGCGTAATTTCATTTTACGAATTTACATTCGGTCTGAACGGTGCCCAAATGGCCAGAAACATTAATGAAATCTGGGCTGATGACAACGTGAGTGAGAGCACCGTTCAGAGATGATTTAAAAAATTTCTAGGGGGAGACTTCAGCCTTGAGTGCAAAGAAGGTCGTGGAAGGTTTTCTTCCCTAGATGATGAGCTTTGGAAGAAAATCCACAAAAAATTATTTCAGAACTTGCAGAGAATCTTTCAAGCATCTTTAGCATTAAAAGATCGCTAAAAAAGTCGCGAGGTTCGCGCAATACTTCTTTGCCTAGTAGAAACGAACCTTTTCTGGATATTATTATTGCTTGTGATGAAAAGTGGATTCTATACGATAACAGCACACGTTTTAGACAGTGGATGACAAAGGAGAAGCCGAGCATATTTTCCAAAGCACCGACTCATCAAAAAATAGTGGTGGTAACTCTTTGGTAAAGCTTCATTTGAGCTGGTTCTGCTTCTTGAATCCTGGCGGAACAATCAATGCTGAAATGGTTTGCTCTCAATTTGAAGCAATGCACCAGAAATTGGCATTATTGTAGCCATCTTCGGTGAAGAAGAAAATGCCGATTCTGTTGCACGACAACGCTCGGCCCCATCTCACATGTGACAACACGAAAACTGTTGGATCTTGGTTATAAATTTCTGCCTTACCCTTCCTACTCTCCAGATCGCTGGACAACATTTGACAACATAAATAATGTTGCGGTTAATGTTGAGAATCACAATTCGCGGATTAAGGGGCTGGACTGATAGGGTAGTTTAGAGTGAAAAATTTGGTAACGAATTTGGGCAAGGTCGGACACGAATGGGATTTTTATGTCGGTATGAATTGTATGGTTAAAGACATAAAAGGGAGAAATGAGGGGAGCAATTAACGATTATTGAAGAATTTTAAATTGTAAGGTAGTCTGTTAAGATTTGAACGCTTAGCGGTTCCGTACAGTTCAAGTCCATGGTGGGGCTAGGGATAGGGACAGGGATAAGAGGGGCGGCCACAAGGCCTACTGCACCTCGACCTGAATAGATCTATTGTGCTCCCCTATTATTTGTAACTCACTGGACATCTTCAGGTTATTAACCAGCCTCCAAAGCTTTGCCAGCGGTTCCTTGGTGTAGGATCTTGCTTGTGGTTTTTCTTGTCCTAGTTACAAGAACCTGCACCTACATAGACCTCACAGAAATATGACATGTGTTCTGCGGGCTCGTCTTCTTCCTGGCAGTATCTGCACAGTGTTACTGCTGTCTGTAGTCCTCCGGTGCATGTGCTTTCTTAAGTGGCTGAGCCCTGTCAGGAGTCAAAACAGAATGCTGGTTCGGTTGCGGTTGCCTTCCAGTAATTCTTTTGTAAATTTTGCGGATAGTCCTTCTATGAATCCTTCGCGAGCCTCATACCTCTGGTATTGTTCCATCAGGGTTTGGACTCATTAAGGATCCATTTTAAGATGTATCCTCTTTTATGACAAGCTGCTAAGCCGCAGTACGATTCTGGGCCCAGAGGGTCCATGTTGGGTCCCTTTTTGGCCAACATGTCAACCTTTTCGTTGCCTCTATGCCCCGAATGTCCAGGGACCGATGCCAGGGTCAGGTCATTAGTGTCGCTGTCTCTTTCCCTTCGCCTCGCATGACGCTAAGGCTTTGAGTGCTGCCCGGCTGTCATAGAAAATATATAGAGGGGCTAGCAGTTTTGGTTTGTTACTGTAAGTTCGGATCGCTTGTCAAACAGTCTTTTTAGCAGTCTGCATCTTGTATTTTTATAGATCAAAAGTCGTTAGAAAATGCGTTTACAGAATTTGTTAATAACAAAGACTCAAAATTCTATTCAGAGGGTATAAAGTAGTTGCAATCACGTTGGGAAAAGGGTATGAAAATGACGGGGGGTATTTTAATTTTTGAAATTCATTTATTTAATTGTTTTTAAGTGCACATTAAGAACAAGATACCACCATCGAACCAAATGGGGGCTTTACTTAGCTAGCAGACCTACATGGAATCCACATACAAGATTAAAACGCCAATGACTTAACAAAAGATATGGACTACTCAAACACTTACTGGGACGAAACTGAACACTAAGCATACATAACAAACTAACCGCTTACCAAACACTCATCAGACCTTTTTGGACTTACGGGTGAAACTGTGCGGCTCAGACAGATCATCCAACATCCAACGAATTCAATCTAAAGTTCTCCGCCGTATCCTCAATGACCGTTCTCCATCACCAATCAAATGATCAATAAAGTTTTTAAACTTCTTAAACCCCTTTCGTGAAAGATCTTATCCGAACCCGCTTCTTCCATTTCCACTCTAAACTGTCCCTCCGCTCTAACCCTCTAGCCAGTCACCAACATCTCACCCTTACAATCCTCCACGCCGTTTAAACGACGATGACCTCGTGACCTTCTATCTTAACCCACCCAATAAAATAATAATTGTTTTTATTTTATAACGATAAACCTGCATTATTTTCCGGACAACCCAATATTACAATATTTCGTTAGGTTATGGCGTGTTAGGATTTTTTATCCGGATTCGAACGGTGATCGTCTTACGACTAGACAAGGGTCGGTGTCCCCTTCGGATTTGATCCGCGCGCGACCGTTGCATAATGGTGGGGCCCGTGTGATTCCAGGGGTCCGTAAACGCGTAAACAATAACCGGCCTTGCGCAAGGCTACAATGAACTTGACAATTTCACTTCCACGTCCTACACTGGTCCGAGTCACGGCGACTTTCCTCGGCGGGCTTTTGACCGACGGTAATCCCAGAAGAATCTCTCCGCCTTCGCCTCCGCACATTTCACGGTGGACCGTTCAAAACGAGGGTAGAATCGGATCCCTTTGACAGTTTGCCGATAGAGCTTAACCATGAAAAACGCAAAAGAATGCTGTTTCTTATACCAGGAAGTGATAAGCTAGGCAATATGCTTACCTATATCCAATGTAAGACGGTAACTTCTCGGGAAAAACTAACTAAATCTAATCCTTATCAGCTTAAATATAAACTACTCAAAAGTCTAATTCTATCCTATTAATCCTTACACCTAAACAGAGTACTACATACTATCGAAAATCCAAGAATTATAAAGTCCCTCTTTTAAGAGTAGGAAAAAGGTTTTGTCAGAATCGTAATCATCATAACCACGATTATGCAGGGAAAGCGTTTTGGCCAGGTCATTACCGATAGTGAAAAGTTCATTTGAAAAAATTAGAATTATGCGCAGAAACAATTTAAGTAAAAACAATTAAGAATATTTAAATTAATACGGAATAAATAATTAGTGGTTATTGCTTGATAAATGTTTCATACATAATTGATTAATTATCATAATTATAATTATACTGCAATCTTAGTGATTAACCGTTATGTTAGGAAGTCGTGCAATCATTTATCAACCAATCGTATCCACCGGTTCAACTAACTGCATGGAAATTCACGAATTTTTCCACAGGTCAATTTTTTTAAATATTACACTATTGTTTTGTATTGATTTTTAGTTAGAATAACTTAAAATTCGATATGTTTTATTACTAAGAGTGTAGAGAATAAGGAGAGAGAGAGAGAGAGAGTGAGAGAGAGAGAAAGAGAAAGAAAGAGAGATAGGAGCGAAAAGTGGTGAGATAGATAAAGAGATATGTATAAATTAAAAAATAGGTAGGTACATAGATGGACAAGAATATTATAAGTGTAATATAAGAAAACTGGAATTTATGAATGTAGAGAGAAGAGAGAAATAATGAGATAGTGAAGAGAGACTATAGATGAAAGCTAAAAAAGTAAACATAGGAAAGAATTGAAAAGATATGTAATGTCTTAAAGAAAGACATGTGTGAAAGAAAGAAAAGTAGAGAAAAATAAAGAGATAGTTACATAGAGTAAGAGAGGTTTAAAAATCAATAATATAGGAACGAATGAGAAAGAAAGAGAGAAAGATAAGAGAAAAAGGGAAGGGAACGGGAATTAAATTAAATCAAATTAGATTTATATAATAATGATGGTTGGTTTTATGTTTTCTAAAATTGCTCTATATTTGACTTTTCCTTATTTTGCAAATAAAAAAATCGTTCAAATGGGGTAATTATCTTTTTTGGTTCTCCTAATTTCAGGAATTTTTACATTTGTTAATCGTTTCTTTTGCTATAAACTGTTTATTCAGCCTAGCCCATACGAACAAAACGTATAATATGAATAAAATATGGACAACTTTGGAAAGCAGCAAAAAGGGTCTAACCGGCCAGTTTTGGCTTTTTTGGTTCTCCAAATTTCAGGAATTTTTGCATTTTTTTAACCGTTTCTTTTGTTATAAACGCCTAGTCCAGGCAAACTAAAATTCAAATATAGATTAACATGAACATAAAATCAACAACAGTAGATAATGGCCAAAAGAGGTTAATTTAAATTTAACTTGTTTTTCTGATATTTACCCTTTAAGTTTTACTATTGTGTAAATAGTAAAATGTTATCAGTGTGATTGACTCCGGTCCGCCTGGTCTCGCTGCATTCCGGTCAGAGCTCAAGATTAAAATGGTACAACGGAGCGCATCTAAATACATTATTGCTCACAATGCGTGAACATGATAGTACAGGGCTCCCTTAGACTATTTTTTTTCTCTGGAAAACAATAACAAATTTTATTCTCCAGATAACTTGTTCGTCATTGTTTATCACAGTATTATATATTATTTTTCGTTCGTATTTATTCTAGTTCGCGTCCGTTTTATACTATGTGTTTCTTTTTCAAGGTTGTAAATATTTCAACTTTATTAACCTGGTTCTATGTTCGACGCGTTTTATATAAATTAATATTATTATTAATATATTGATTGCCCAGTTTTACGACGTTTGGCCTGTTTGAACTGTTAATTTCAAAACTAAATAAAAAGCGAAGGCGAGAAAGGAGATATGAGAAGAAAGAAAACCGTAAATCGACAATTTACAGAAAGAAAGTAAATAAAAAGAATAAGAAATGATAGCAAACAAACACCCAGGAACAAGTAACCCAAAAGAAATGGATTTTAATAGTTTAATATTGTATTTGTATATCCAATTATAACTCTATTATTGTTTATTTATAATTTCAACTGAAAACTGTATATACTGTGTCTGGATTGAGATTTTTGCTTGCAAATCATGTCACAAAAACCTGACCCATTAATCCCACTTTCAACTGATTTAAAATACAACAAAAGGTTGAAGATTGTTTATTGTTATTTAAACAGCGACAAAACGTAGGTAAAGTTGATTTTCTTTTATGATTTCGACAACTGTCGAAAAGTGAAACTTCTATTTGCCCACTGACCTGTTATTTTTCGATATTATGGAGAAAGCATCGTTTCCACCCACCTGAAACAAATAAAGAAGGGTAATTAGAAAAACATTAACGAGATTGTCGAAAGAAAATTTATAGAATTAAAAGTAACCGGATGAGGACGTAAACGAGGAGTAGAGGAACGGGTCAACTAGGACCGAATTCGACGAAAGTAAAGGGGAGAAAAAAAGGGGAAACTTTTGTGTACATTTGGAACTGGGTTATAGAAAGAGGAGACAATCGGTATCACACGTGTCCGAGTCAAAGGAGAAAGGTTGCCCGTCAAGAACGAAACGGGTAAAAGGAACGGAGAAAATCATTTCTTTTTTTTTTTAATTTCCCAAGAAGGGAAGAAAGAAAACTTATTGGTGTCAGGCCACTATTCCTCATAACGACTTCGGTACAACTGAGATTGAATACATATAAACCCCGAGCGGAGTAGATAAACCAACATTAATTAAGAGTGGAAAAATAAGTCCAAAAATATATTATAATTTTTTTCCTGTTGCGTTTTAAAGTTGTTTTTTAACAAACAGCAGGTTTGGAACTAAGTAAATAATCTTCACATCAAGTCTATGTCGTTCAAGAAGTTCAAACAAAGCAAAAAAATGTTAATTAAAGCAAAAACAATTAATTCTGTCCATAATATTAAGAAAAAAATGTTGGCAGTTGAGTGATCAAAGCAGAACTGTCTTTCAGACAGGGTTATCACGGGGATGACTTCTGATTCCAGGTGAACAGGGAAAACAGACGGACCAGAATAATGTGTCTCAAGTTACTTTATTTTATTTCTCGTCTTATAAACCATTTCAGCTGAGGCTGATACACCCTTCTAATACTTTTAATAGATTAATGTACTACTAATACTTCTAATAATTTTCTAATAAATTAATACTTTTACTTTTTACTCTTTTCAGAGATTGGTGAAACACCAGATTTCAAGATGAGTCATCACGCTTTCCAGTTGTCAAATGGTGCTGCGTTATTCGAGAATGTAAGTCAGGATTCGTAAATTACTATTATCAGCCTAAGCTTAAAATAACACCTTAAGTATCTTACAATCTTTGGCGTTCAGATTATTATAATTCGTCAGAGGGTTAAATCTTATCGAAAACGGAAAAATGACTACTGGTTTTGGTAAGAATTATTTATTAAAGGTGTAAAGTGGATATTTTCTAAAAACATCCAAAGTTATCTCAAGAGCCTGGATTATTGTTTTGCTTTTGGTGGAAGTATGTATGACCAGTTCGTTCCAAACGGTTTTTAATACTTTTGGTTATGGATGTTTAAAAACTAAGTAATACATTTTGATCAAAAGGAATAAAGCACTTCAAAGAAAGGATTCACGTATATCCTGCCGTCATGTCGTCTGTCTTTTAAAAAGGTGGAACTTATAAAGTCAAAAAGGTGTAATGTAGGATTAGAAAATTAACATTTTTTTCCCATTTCTGTATAAAATATGGGTAGAAACGGATCATATTTTGAGCAGTACCACATTAATTTTGGGTATTTTGATATAATAACTTTTTCGAAAAGTGTATTGCATTCTTCCTGAATATAGGAGTAATGGATTTCAACTTTATTTCAAGCCCTCGTTAAATAAGCATTGCAAGCAACAAAACGATTTTCCTCGACCTGCTTATAGTCCTGAAGTAGCACCATCCGGTGACTATCATTTCCTGTAAATTACATTTAATTACATTCGAAAGGAAATAACATTTAAAAGTACATATATGTGAAATTTAGATATGCTACGCCATGAAACAGAAGGATCAGGTCATAGACCACAAACATATAAATGCTTCCTTTATGTACATAAAACATGGCTAAGAAGATACACAAATTTGTGGATATTCTTTTTCACCTTACCTGGGGATGCAGAAATGTTGGCTTAAATTAGATTAGGAAGGGTTAGGATTAAGAATGTTGGTTTAGGTAGAATTAAGGTAGGTATTACGGTTTGGGTTAGTTTAGGTTAGGTTGGGTTAGGCTACATATCTATATCGAATGTTTTTCTGAGTAGAGAAGAAAATATGCTAGTGGAAATAAATTTTTCACCCTCCCACTCTCTCCCTTTCATCCTCTCACTCTCTCACTCTCTCTCTCTCTTTTTTTCTCTGTCTCTCTCTCTCTCTCTCTCTCTCTCGTTCTCTTTATTTTCCTCTTTCTTTTTTCCTCCCTTTATCTATCTTTTTATCTATCTAATTATCTACATATTTACGGACTACACTGTAACAACCTAATTATAGAAATGATTAAACAGAATGATAATTCCTCCAGAAAATAGACCGGAAGAATCCCAGTGAGTAAGAAGGAGCTAAATTACAGATCAAAGCATCAAATCGCTTGAGGAGTGCTAGTGAATAAATAAATTCTCTCCTTGAAGTAAAATAAAAGATGGTGTTACAAAACGAAAATGAGTGATGCTGCAAGAAGATTTGCACGTTCCCTGGAAGAATTGTGCATTTTTCAATTGATGAACCATGTAATTTAAGCAGGACGTATGATTCTTGTTAAGCTTATGTTGTATCATGGAAAATCCGGAAAATGATTTAAAAGCTACAATAATTTTTTTTTCTAATTTTTTGTCCATACTTTAAGAAACTCTCGAGGAAAGTGCACGAGATTCACGGTCATGGGCTTTGCGCGAGAGCCTGGGTCACGGGATTGCGAAAAATCGGAAGGTCTTTTCTCAACAAAAGCGTTATTGTTTCTTCTCCTTTTTATTAATAATCGTAATCGTCGAGCGTGTTTCCGCGACACGAGATCAGACTTGATCAGTGTCGATGTGCCAACAGCCTGGATGGAGGCCGGGCTCCGTCAGATATTTTTCAATTAGCACGGCGTTTCCTCATTTCGGAGATAACTTTCGACGGCTTCGTCGTTTAATTAACAGCGTTGTCCGACTGGTGGCTCCGAGGGCGTGCCGAATCGCGAACAATACCGTTGAAACGAGGTTAAAACGGACCAAACTCTGTTCACGCAGAGTCTCGCCGTGAAACGTCTACGAAGGATTTTTTTTCTCTAAAATCCCAAACAAATGAATTTGATTTTTAGAAATGTATTAAAAGAAATGCTGTGTAACATGAACATGTTCTTAAATAATACATTTAATCCTCTCAGGTAACCACTTAATTTTGATTTTCCGTTTTGCAAATTTGAGCTAAAATATTTTCCTGGCCGGCTAAACTGTTCGTTTTCAGAATCACCGGCATGATATCGGTCAGCCCGCTCGTTATAAAAGTGAAAATAAGCGTCAATGTAATTGGACGAATTTTCCCGGGGCGAGAGCTGGGAGTTCATTGTTCCCAGCACATTTACATCTATGCCTAAGGGAAACGTGTCAATCAGGATTTTATCATAAAGCCTAACATGCCTTTCATAATTTAAAAAAATATGCTAAAACCACAAAATTTCAAAGGATGCCTTAGAAAAATTAGCTATTAAAGCTATACACGTATAAATACAAATTTCCTTCTTTATTTGCATGTAGAAATGATACTGGAACACCACTCAAACTTTTAGTCTGTTTAATCTTAATGAGTCTGTACGTGCGTTTTGTTGTACTCCCAAATAAACCCCCCCCCCTATTGAAGAAGGAAACCAACACGTCAACCTCGCCAGATAGATCAAAATAGGGAATGTACTTATAAAAAACAAAACAAAACCAAATCAGAAAAGCCTGATGTGAAGCTTTTTTCGCAACATCAGAGTCGGGTACGAATGCAGGGCCGCTGGATTCGAACCCGGGACCTTTACTTTACAGTGATGAGCGCCGTGTCAACGCCTGAAGCGTTGCGGCCATCGACTCCCCCATCTTGATGTGAATGATTTGTATTTTAGGAGTCAAGAAACCAATAGACTTAATATCTGCCTGTATCTCCTCTCTCAATATCCATTGTTTATATTACATGGCCTAGTCTTGCAGATGGTTTTCTATTTATGAGCCTGAGGGCTGCTGCTAGGGCTTCTCCTTGGATTAAAATATGAAGCGATGGGAGGTTTAATAACCCCTCCAGGGCCGCAGTTGGCGTAGTACTCATGGATCCAGTGACACTGAGACTAGTTTGTCTTTGGGTGCCACTTAGAGTCTTAGTCTACCACACTACCTACCTATGTGTCAACATCGGCCTTAAGACGCGGGTGTACACCCGTAGAGTCATTTTGTGACTTAATCCCCAGATTTTGGCGCAGGGCCTTCTCAACCTCCCCCAGGCAATTTTGGCACTCTGGGTGGTTTTAGTTAAATGTTGATTCCATGTGAACAGCTGGTCTAGGGTGATCCCTAGATATTTACCCTCCTTGGAAAATGGGATATGGGTATCGGTTAGATTTGGAGTTTTTAGGCTTCCTATTGTCCTCTTCCTTGTGAATGGAATCATTATGGTTGTGTGGGGATTACTAGAAAACTCCTCTCATTTGCACCACCCTGTCAATTAGATATCCTAAATGAGACAAAAACAAACACTTTGAGACCTTAGAATCCGCATAATCTAACTGTTTTGACTTTTATTTTCGAAGAACTCCATATAGATATATTATTTCGAGTAAAACGTCAATTGCCCAATAATTAATCAATCGCCCAAAATTGATTGCTAGAATATAGGCTTCAAAAGACTGATATTCTCTTAATATTGCACATCTTTATAGAAGTTCTGTATGTTGTAACCGTGTTTGAAAGCAGTTACACTAACGCGTTTTTATCCTTTTATCGATTTACCTACCTTGAAGAGAAATCTTATCTTCCTTCATCAAACATGATTTTATAAACGTGACATCTAGATATTTATAATAAAGTTGGATTTGTGGGCAGTTGAAAACATTGTATCAAGAACTTCGCCTTCAGTCCGATCGCGGCTTCTGCTAAAAAGACCTGTCCTCGTCGTGTACGTGATCCCTTTTAAAAACGTTTCTGCCTTGTTAAAGTGCCCGTTTTCCTTCTATTCTTATTGTCTAATAAGATTCTTTCTATTCTCGAAAAGAGGTTAGGATGAAAAGAAATAGAAATGAAAATACCTTCAGATGGGATATGCGAAGAACATGAGATATGAAAAAATAAAACCGATTGAAAATATGACAAAACCTATTTCATTAGGCTGTATTCGTAATTTTTAGTTTTCACTTTGCAACATAAAGATTATGCACGTTTTTTTTTCTCTACTAACTAAAACATCTCCTTTCCAATCCTTATTACCTAAGGCTGAAGTCCTACCGGACTTCCTACTCAATTGATCGCTGCTTTAAAAAGTAAGGCGAGGCAATGAGTTTCCAGATATGAAATTGCTTCCCACAAGATGACTTTCTTGGTCCCATCCTGTACTCTACGTTGCTCACTGGCCAATCCATTCCAACACCACACTTTTAAACCTGTGCGAACGATAATGTTATGTACAATCCTGAGTCCCCCATATCCACCGCCAATTTTCAGGAACACCCCGAGTTCATCTTAGAATGATGCAAGAAAAAAGATGAATTTGACGAGAACAAATGCACCCGAATCACTTGAAAACGTGAACAATTAAGAATATCTCTAGGATCAAAATCAAACACAACTGTAACAGAAGACTTCTGACGTTCTTCGTGAGATACACTCAAATTTTTCGTCTTGCCCTTTTGCTCAAACCCTCTCTCTATTCTAATCACCATAATCGTCCAAGTCGCATTAAACTACTTCCAAATTATTATTTTTTAATCTTTTTAAAAGGTAATGATTGAGATCAAAAAAATCAGTGTCACGAGCGGGATTCAAACTCACGTAGTTGAACAAAATTGATCATATATCGTTGATTAAAGTTTTTGACAAGAACTTAAAATTTACATGGAATTTACCTTCAAAAAATGGTACGGAATTATTTTGAACCTGACATACTGAAATGTTTCTCACCATTGTGAAACTAATATTTACTTACACAATTACAATTACGTTGAAAATTTATATACTGTGACTGAACAGTTAAGACCCTTTTCTCTGGGAAATATTCACAGATATTAAAT